CAACCTTATGGAAGAGGTACGTGGATGACACTTTTGTCATCTGGCCACATGGCCGGCCTGCTCTAGACCAATTCTTCGACCACATCAATTCCATACACCCAGCCATCAGATTTACCATGGAAGTCGAAATAGATGGCAAGATACCTTTTTTGGATGTCCTAATTAAAAAGAGACCTGATGGTTCAATGAGCCACTCTGTCTACAGGAAAACTACCCATACGGATGCTTATCTGAAACCGGATTCCCACCACCATCCATCACAGAAGAATTCTCTCATCAAGACTCTGTATCATAGAGCCCAATGCATATCCGACCAGGAACACATAAGCAGTGAACTCAAGCACGTACACCAAGCTCTTAGGGCTAATGGTTACTCCGACTATACAATCCGCAAAGCTATCACTCAAACCATGAAGAAGAACCCTCTTGAGGAGCCTTTCAAAACCATCACTTTACCCCACATTGCTGGGATCACAAGAAAGATCTCCAAAATCTTGAATAAACACAAGATCCAGGTCCGTTTCAACACATTACATAAAATCCGTGATCTGGTTCCGTCTGTAAAAGATGTGATTCCGGACATACAATACCCTGGTGTCTACAAACTAAGTTGCCTCTGTGGTAGTAGTTACATTGGAGAAACCAAACGCCATGTCTCGGACCGCATTCGTGAACACAAAGTAGACCTTAAACACGGTAGGACCAACACCTCGGCCGTAGCAGATCATTGTTCTAATTCAGTAGGCTCACATGCCATTGACTTTTCCAAGACAGAGGTTCTTTGTAAGCCATCTGGCTTCCATGAGAGATTCGTTCATGAGGCTATCCACATATACAAGCACAGAGACAATTTCAACCGAGAAGATGGATTCTATCTTAGCAATCATTGGAAAGATTTGATAAACCATTTCAGTTCTTAATTGATTGTTCACGCTTACAGTGGCTTTCAGACAGCATACATTATACAAATTTCGTCTCCCCCCTCCTCTTTTCAAAATATAGATGGACTAGTCCTGGGCAAACTGCCAAATCGCCGCGCGTGACGCTAACGTTTTTTATAAATAAATAAATGCGCCGTTTAAAAATACATTTATGCAAACCAACACACCTGAAGATGACCGTTTGAGTTATGGTCGAAACGTCGTGAGAATTTTTATTGTTTTATATATATTATATTATTTTGTTGTTTCTCTTCAACGTGACTTTACCGAAAAAACTAAGAATATGAATTACTGCAGTCACGAAAGCTTTAAATCAAAATTTAATCGCCTCTACGGGGAGGGTTTTCACATAACTTTAAGATCCTTCAACAAACTCCGGGATAAGAAAGCTCAGCTGATCGAGTCTCTCACCTTCCTGAAGAGATGCCACGACTCTGGGGTAATACCAATCGCATTTACACTGACCTCTTCTGCTGTAACTTCTTCTAATGTGAAACGAATTCTTTTCAAAACTAGCTTAGCTCTTATCTCAGAAAAAATCAGACTTATACGCACAGAACTAGATCAGTTAGACAAGACACTCTACAAATCACACTTATCATTGACGGCAATAATGTCCACATCGGATTGGGAACATGTAGACAATATGACTGCCTCTTCAGCTGCTACTATGTCGACCAAATGTAAGGAAAACCTGATTTCCAAATTTAACCTCCTCTTCAACAAAAGACCGGATCCACACACCAAAAAGTTAGACGTTAATAAAGTCGTAATTAATCGCAGTAACAGTTCTATTTCCGATGGTCTGAAATCCGTTTTAGCTAAAGGTCTAAACTTTGCAGTCACACCAAAACACATACCAGTTAATGATATAATTGCCCAAGTAGACGTTGCTCTCAGGGGCCTGGGTCACATCGCTGCAGACGTAGCAAGATCTGAAATCGCTGCAACCCTCAAAAACGCTAAGATGCCAGCTAGCAACCTCAGCAAAGATGAGCGTTTTGAATTATATAAATTAAAAAAGAGGAATGATATTGTAGTCCTCTCAGCTGACAAAGGCAATGCTATTGTCATCATGGATAAAATAGAATACAACAACAAAATTAAAGAATTACTCGACGATGGTAGTTATACAAAAATAAAAAGAGATCCCACCAAAAGCCTCGTCACACAAACCAACAAAATAATTTCTGATTCAACCGCATTAATTGATCAATCTAAACAGTTTTCGTTGAAACCTTCTGCTGCCAGGCCACCAAGATTATACTGCTTACCAAAAATACATAAAGTTGATACACCTCTTCGTCCCATAGTCTCTACTATCAGCTCCCCCACCTACAAACTAGCTCGTTTTTTGTCTGAAATCCTGCGTCCTTTCACTGGAAAGACCACCTCTGCGGTACAAAATTCTACTCACCTGGTATCGACAATCAAGGGTATTTCCCTGTCCCCAGACGACCTGCTTGTCAGTTTTGATGTAGTTTCCTTATTTACCAACGTTCCTGTACCTGACACCATTGCAATCATTGAAGACTTGGTTCATCAAGGACTAAACACTGAGGTACCCCCCCTGGTGAGACACTGTTTAACCAATACATACTTCACTTGGAATGGAACTTTCTACAAACAAACTGAGGGCACCCCAATGGGCTCCCCCCTTTCTCCAGTTATAGCTAACATTTTCATGGAGAAATTTGAGACTGACGCCATCCAGACTGCCACTCTGCGCCCAACCTTATGGAAGAGGTACGTGAATGACACTTTTGTCATCTGGCCACATGGCCGGCCTGCTCTAGACCAATTCTTCGACCACAACAATTCCATACACCCAGCCATCAGATTTACCATGGAAGTCGAAATAGATGGCAAGATACCTTTTTTGGATGTCCTAATTAAAAAGAGACCTGATGGTTCAATGAGCCACTCTGTCTACAGGAAAGCTACCCATACGGATGCTTATCTGAAACCGGATTCCCACCACCATCCATCACAGAAGAATTCTCTCATCAAGACTCTGTATCATAGAGCCCAATGCATATCCGACCAGGAACACATAAGCAGGAACTCAAGCACGTACACCAAGCTCTTAGGGCTAATGGTTACTCCGACTATACAATCCGCAAAGCTATCACTCAAACCATGAAGAAGAACCCTCTTGAGGAGCCTTTCAAAACCATCACTTTACCCTACATTGCTGGGATCACAAAAAAGATCTCCAAAATCTTGAATAAACACAAGATCCAGGTCCGTTTCAACACATTACATAAAATCCGTGATCTGGTTCCGTCTGTAAAAGATGTGATTCCGGACATACAATACCCTGGTGTCTACAAACTAAGTTGCCTCTGTGGTAGTAGTTACATTGGAGAAACCAAACGCCATGTCTCGGACCGCATTCGTGAACACAAAGCAGACCTTAAACACGGTAGGACCAACACCTCGGCCGTAGCAGATCATTGTTCTAATTCAGTAGGCTCACATGCCATTGACTTTTCCAAGACAGAGGTTCTTTGTAAGCCATCTGGCTTCCATGAGAGATTCGTTCATGAGGCTATCCACATATACAAGCACAGAGACAATTTCAACCGAGAAGATGGATTCTATCTTAGCAATCATTGGAAAGATTTGATAAACCATTTCAGTTCTTAATTGATTGTTCACGCTTACAGTGGCTTTCAGACAACATACATTATACAAATTTCGTCTCCCCCCTCCTCTTTTCAAAATATAGATGGACTAGTCCTGGGCAAACTGCCAAATCGCTGCGCGTGACGCTAGCGTTTTTTATAAATAAATAAATGCGCCGTTTAAAAATACATTTATGCAAACCAACACACCTGAAGATGACCGTTTGAGTTATGGTCGAAACGTCGTGAGAATTTTTTATTGTTTTATATATATTATATTATTTTGTTGTTTCTCTTCAACGTGACTTTACCGAAAAAACTAAGAATAAGGGTAAAACCTATTTCTAAAGTAAAATACATAAAAAAAATTGTAGAGTTGATCCAAAATGAACTGTACAATGGACAAATTAACGAGCCATAATATCAGTCATGTTCTCGCTGATTAATTTGCTTCGGTAAAATTTTCTCCAATAAAAATAGGGGTGGGTGAGCGGTGGCGCAGAGGTTAGTGTGTTGTGCTATGAACCCAGTGACTTGAGTTTTATTTTTAGTATATTCAAAACTGTTGATTTATAAACTTTTTTTTATTGGCCCATTTTCTGAAGCCCCCTCCCTCCGCCATGTAAATTGTAGAGTCTGACCAAAATTTAGTAAGTCCTCTCATTCCCCGAAATGTGTCGGCCTCTTGTAGTTTTCTGTTATATGGCAGTAATGCAGTAATATTGATGAACGGCCTAAAGAACCACGTTTTTACCCAAGTACAAAACCTTTGTGCGAATTAAAGGTTTTATATACATATTTATTCTTGTGTACATGTTTAAAAGTCCTTAAACCCAAACATACTTTCTGCTGTAAAGGCCAGTGTTGGATGACCCATGATTACTCTATATAGCAGGGACCATTCTGTAGGATAAGCAATGTTGAATTGGTCGTAATGTTCTTATATATAGTTTAAACTATTTTGCCCATTATATCTGTACATGCTCACTTATGGGACACCTGGTATAACATCCGAGGTCATAATTATAAAATCACGACTTTCAAATCGTGGCCAGGGTTGAATCTGCACTTCATCCATCCATGTTCATGAACATGAGTACGGTCAATGAATGTTGACCACTTGGTGGGACATCAGCAACTGTTGCCCTCTTGTAAGATTGTGTAATTTTTCCACCACTAGCGTGGTATTGGTGTTGGAGATGAGTCCTGTGCAACATTTTGTTTAACCATTGGGCCACTCGAGTTTTTGTTTTACTTCAATAAAAACATGAAAAAGTGTTGACATTAACCAATGAAAATGTTTGCGTATGGAATGAATTATTATTTGCGTGCTGTTCTGATGTGACTATAATTTCGGATGTAACGTTGTTGTACTCTTACCATCATTTTCAAGCTCACGCCGGCTTCCTGTGCTTCTTCCTTGTCTCCACAGCCAGCTCAGCATGCAGCTGAAGCCATATGCGGGCAGCCATGGCAAGGCGGCGTCCCCCTCCTCACAGCTCTTCGAGCGGGCCAAGCGCTATTTCCGCAGCGCACAGTCTAGCATGAGCATCACTGGCTTTGGGAGTCGCGTTGTGTGGGGCGCTGTGGGCGGTGCGGTCGGTGGTGTCGCCTTCTGCAGGGCTTGCAGTGGAAAGCCAGCCCGGGGCAAGGCCAGCGGGGGTGGTTCGGGCGGAGGTGGCGGCCGCAGCCTGATGCGGGACGCGGCCGAGTGGTGCTTGGACCGACAGGCGGAGCCCAAGGTGGTGTGCGAGGCATGCATGGCGGCGGCGGCTGCGGCGGCGGCGGCGGCGGCCCACAACGGAGAGGAGCAGCGCGTGCAGCTGGATATACTGTCCGTGATCAAGCCTGGAAACACTCGCGAGAAGATCGCCTTCTTCATTCGCAACCAGTGTAACAGCTGGAACGGGCAGCTCAAGGTGAAGAACCCCTGGGAGCAAGGCTGCACCAAGGCGAAGCGACGTCGCAAGTCGCAGGACTCTGACGTGGCGTCGGCTCAGAATGCTCGGTCTGTGTCGGAGGCCGCCTGCCAATGCTCCACAAGCGCGTTTAAGGAGCCCGATGGGCGAATGGCAAATGCCTGCTCAGACGGGCTTGAAAGCTGTAATGAGAATGTGCTGTCAGAGAGTGACATGCTGTCCGTACTGGAAAAGGTAGCACTGTTGGAGGGCAAGAGTGCAAGAGAAGGCGTGGGCAGGAGTCGAGTTGGAAGCAGCTCTTCGGCTCACGCGTCTGATGCCGCGGCTGCGAGCCAAGAACCTGATCTTCAGAAACATTCTCTAGATGCTGCGTGCTCTCCTCCTGTTTCCTGTTCTGCGGGAGACAGCTTAGCGAGGGCCTGGTGCGACAGGCCCCACGTGGAGACGTGGTGCGAGCGTGTTCGTGTGGACAGCGGCACCCAGCCCAGTGCGTGTGGGGAGTTACCTGCCGAGTCTGTGCGCGTAACGGAGGCAATCGCACGGCTTGAATTGGAGAGCCTGAAGCAGCAGCAGCCGGGAGACCGAACATCCTGCAGCCTTTCTCGCAACAGCAGCCTGCGTCGCTCTTTCAAGAAGATCTCCATTTCGTCCTCGGCCGCATCTTGCTCCTCTGCCTCGGCTGCCTCACAGCGTGCACGCGTCGCTGACGCCACTGACACTTTTAGTGCAGAAGCACTGGCTGGTGAAGATTGTTCATTGTCCCTTGCCAGCTCTCCTGCTGTTCAGACCAGCCCAAGCAATGATAGATGCACTTTGACTGCAGGTGCCACTGTAGAAAACTTTGTTCAAATTTCCTCCACGCCTGCTTCTCCTGCAGTAGTAGATAGCGAGAGTAAAATTGATCACGAAAAGGGGCCATTTTGTTCCCAGCTTGTGGCTTCAGCAGAAGGTCAAAGTCCTGCAGACGTCGTTTGTCAGGATCCAAAAGTCTGCAAAACTTCGCCTTCTCTTTGTGTCGCCCTTTCATCTGTCTGCAAGTCCCTGTGCACAAGGGACAGTAGCCCTCCAGGAAGCACTGCCACAAAGCCCGCAGAGGCGTATGATGACGCCTCTTCAGGTGACACAAAGGGAATGGCCTTCACTGGCTTGCAGGCCGCCAGCACCATACGGCTCGCTGTGGACGGTGATGTCGCCGGGGCAGCGGAGCAGAGCACCCATTGCACTGAGGCAAGAACGGAACCAGACGGATGTGCCAACAATGAAGGCTCCTCGCTGGCCGACCTGATTCCCGGCCAGCTCTTCCTGCTTGCAGCACCTGCGGTGTCTGAAAAGGGTTCGGAGAAAAGCTTAGCACCGGCTTTGTCGGAGGTCACATCAGGTGATTGCGTAGAAGAGCAAAGCAGTCCAAAGCTGTCACCCAGCAAGAGCAAAAAGGCCGTGTCGCACGAGTTTTTGGAAACGCGTTTCCGCATTCAGCAACTTCTGGAGCCTCGGCAATACATGTTATCCCTACCGGACCACGTGCTCGCTCAGATGTTCGGTTACCTTCCAACACGCTGCTTGGCGGCGCTCAAGTGCACGTGCCGCGACTTCAAGTGGCTTATCGAGGCGTACGACATTCGAGCCACGGACTCTCGCTGGAGTGACGACCCGCGTTACAGCGATGACCCTTGCAAACAGTGTCGAAAGCGGTACCAGCGTGGGGACGTGTCTCTCTGCCGTTGGCATCCAAAGCCGTACCACCGTGACCTCCTCTACGGCCGCTCCTACTGGATGTGCTGCCGTAAGCCTGACCGTGATGCCGCAGGCTGCAAGGTGGGCCTGCACGACAACAACTGGGTGCAGCCCAGCGACCGCCTGCAGCAGATTCGCCGCTTCTCTGCAGAGGAGCACTGAGGAGGAGGAGGGGACCGTTGTGGCTCGGACGATGGGCTGCGTGTTTGGGAAGGGGTGGCTGCCTCACCCCTTTGCAAAACTCGCGCGTGTGTATATTTGTGTTTGTGTGCGCCTGATTCCCCTGTCCCTTCCAAGCCCTTGCCTTCTTCCTCAGTCTGAATGAGACGCAGAGACAAACCGCGATCACGCTACCTTGACGACCTACTGATCTCTTTGCTCTCAGCACTCACTGTAATAGTTTTGCCGTGCCTGGAAGCAGATTTGCTACAGATAAAGAGGCGTTTAAACGTAACAGTGGTTGTTATAATTGGGAGTACAAGGTGTGTTCTATTATTTAAAGAAAATTCCACTTTTCATAGCATTCAGTGTATATATACATTGCTAACACATGACTCCGATGTAGAGATCCAGTTACAAACTGTAGATAATTCATACTGTGAACTAATCTGTAATTACATCAGACTGATTATAAGACCCGAATTTGCGTAGGCAAATCAGTTTAAAAGCTTGTCTTCATGGCTTCGCTCACTGGGTGGCTGCAGTAATGTGTTGCACAATCAAAAAAGGGTCAAAGGCATACACAGGCTGCTTAAATGCACACCTAATGTGAACATTTCATGTCAACAAGTCTATCAATTGTTCATTTGCTGCATGTGTGTGTGTGTGTTGAGGATGAGAAAGATAATGCAGAAAATTGTACAAAGGAAATGTCACCCGATGGTGTAGTTAATTGTGTGTGCATGGCTTTGCCTCCTATTGTGTGTAATCAATAAATCTGGCTTAATTTTTCTGTGCATTGATCCAAATGTTGTGGTGTGTGATTCATAGCCGACTAACTGCTCATGCAGCCCATGTGATGCTGTGAGTGCAGGAAGGGGGGGGGAGGGGGCTTCTGGAGCAAATGAGATTGGTCAACACCTACTTACCCCACTGTCTACCAATAATTGATTTCCTGTGACGCCTGTGTGTTTCTTTATTTTTAATTGACATAAAATTCATAAAATCACCTTACACTGTCACATGCCTGATGTACAATTGCCTCGCTGTGTACTTGCACAACGTTTTCTACTTTGTGTCATTGAACAGGCTTGAGCCCTAGATACAAGAACCAATTATTTTATATATTTTTTTACGTTATGCCTTTCCGCAGTGTTGTGTGGTAATATCTGTCAATGGTGTAGATTAAAGCCTTTAAGATATCTAACCTAATGCTGGTGGTGGCGAGAAATTGGTATCCAAAAATGGTTAGTGCAACAATTGCCAAATCTGCAGAAATAGTGAAAATGTCTTTTTCCATTGAATATTGTCAGAAACTGCATTTCTACGAGCACATGCATTTGGACAAAAATGTTTTTGGTTATGTTAACACCTGTTAACTAGCCCTTGAAAAGTGTATTTTGTACTGTTGTCGTGCATGTCGTGAATGTTTGTGTTGGTGTATGAATGTTTTCTGTCTGCTTGATAGCAAACCAGGTTAAACCCGTGGTCATAAGTCCCAATTATTTTTTTTTCCAAACTACATTATTCAAGAAGTCGGTAAGAATTCCTTTAAAACCCATTAAACTCGTTGAAAACCCTGACACGCTAGCCGGAGTTCTAGTGCACCGCACATGCATGCATGCGCACACCACTGCTTCAAGACTTCAGTTATATCTACTCACCTGTTGCGTAAACCGTAGGTGGTAAATACACGGCGTGGTGCAGGGTCTCAGGACAGGGCGGACGGGGTGTGGGTGACGGCTGCTGTACCGACGACGCGAGGAAGCGGCCGTGTTTGATATCGGGTGATGTCTGCAGCAGAACCTCCCCCTCCCCCTTCAGGCTCGATTGGATCTATGTGTGTGTACTTAGTGCAGTTCCTGCCAGAACTAGCAGCTCGTCTCTGACCACCGTGGAAGGTGAAGAAGGTGCAGCCCCTGCATTTGCTTTCTCATGCAACTGCTGGCGAAGAGTTTCCACCAGAGGGACCGCCATACCCAGCAATTTTGACGTCAAATAGTCCAGTTTAGCCTTTGAGACATTATGAAGCACTTTGAATACGATTTTAGCTTTACTTGGAATTGTTTTGTATTGGGTGAAATCCTCATTTGCAAGCGATTCCCCCTCCCTCACGTGGCATCTTGCTGCTGTCCAGAATTCGACACTTTCCGAACTTGCTACCCTTCACATTTCTTCCTCTGATCTTTTAAAGTCTTACCATGTTTAGTAGCCATGCTCATCTCTTTTTGCATGGCATTTTATATACCATACAATACTACTGATGTGGCAACAACTTGCATTAAAGGTATTTTTCTCAGCAGCCAGTAGTGTGTCCTGTTTCCGTGCACAACATTTTAATGCGCATTAATAAACGCATATTAATGACCAATTGCGATCTTTGTTCCGAAACAGTGCAACGCTGCACTCCCAATTTTCTGAGCTTACCAATTCGTGAACGCGCCTGCCCTCATGGTTCCTGTCAGAAAGAGATGCAATTGGAGCGGGTTCCCAAAGTGGTAGGTGAATGTACAACTCATGCCACAGACTGGAGTGCGATACGTAAACTTAACCCCCACAAAAATAAGCTTGGCTATCGCCAGAAATACCGCCATCCACAAGGGGGTCGTTCCCATTTATTTTTAGTCGGGTGTGAGTCGCGATTGATTCAATGAACTGATTAAAACACTTAAGCTCTTAATTAATCATTACGCATCTGGTGTCTATCAGAAGCTCCGTGGTAAGCTGTGCTCTCAGCAGCAGCTCGGTTGAGGTGGCAGCACTGGTGGAATACACAATTACACGTGGTCATTGCTGTGTCTTGGTCTGGAAAATAGTGTCGCCCTCGGGGACATTACAGCTGGGCTTGTGTGTACCTTAGAAAAAAGTCCGAGAGACTTTCTCAATTTAGACCCGTGCATTAAGGCTCAAATTGTGTCCACAGCCCCCCCCATCCCCGACGCCCCTTAAATATGTATGCACATTTACAAGTGAACCTTAAGGTTGTAACCCGGGGTTCCATGGTGCCCCGGCTCTCGCATAATGTGCCTGATGCAGTCATGTTTAGTCTCTGTTGATGGTCGGCGATGCGGCAATCGACTCATCTCGACGAGCTGTACTCACGATGCACCACCACGGTGCGTGCGAGCGTTCGGGGTTTCGGCGCAATCGTCCTCGCTGTGTTTCGACATCGCGGAGTGGCACTGATTTCGGATTGATTGATACCCCAGTCGCGGAGTTAAGTAACACCCCTGGAAAAAATAGTGTCCCAGAAATAAAATATTTAATTGCCTCGGCCAGTTGTATTATTTGGTACCCCGGGGTTACCGCGCCATAAGGATCATGTTACGGAATTAATATAAATAAGAACTGACATTTGGTGTTAAAGATGCTATAGGTAATCTTGATCAGGATTCAATGACATCTTGTGGTGAAATTCCATGACATCGGAACAATCAGGGCTCGTGGGGGCAGACTGAAGAGGCCACAGAGGAGCATGTGGAGTTGAAGCAAGAAGGTGGATCTGGTGGAGCCAGGAGAGAAGTTGGAGGCTGCTGAGATCACCCAACCAGAGGGCAGACTACAGCACGGCTGCTGTGATCATAGGCTTGTAACTGTTGCCCGTGAGGGACTCACTAAATGCTACGTATACCAGAGCTGGGTTTGAATGCACCCACGCATCATTGGAGTGGGAGAGAGCAGGCTGACCAATAAATGCTGCGGAGATTCCTGATGGTATCGGCAAGAGACCTCCATGAACACCATATGGCCTAATGAACGTAATACAGCTTTTTTTTTTTACAAAATGTCTTGCACCCTGTGTTAGTGTGGATTGCGGGTGATAAAACAGACAGGTCTCTTTTTTTTACTACCAAAATATAAATGACAGTATTTAGATCCACAAGTCGTGAGATTATCTTGACATGTTTCTCAGTAGCAAATTAGCAGGTAAACTGGACCGGTTTTACCTTTCTGAGTCTCCGTCAGTAGTGTGGCCGGCTAAACACATTGCTGGGTTACCATGGGCTCAGTTCCACATAGTACACCTAAATAGTTACAGATTTTGTTACATCTTGCATGTTACTAGTTGGAATATAATAAATAGCCCAATGTCTACTGTGAAGGTATAGATGCATACCTAGTTGGATGCTGGAGGTTGGAACTGGTTTAGCCCGTGCGATTGTGTGAATTAAGTTGGATAAACTTATCTTGCTTCCAAAATATGTTACTCTCGCTGATGTGTAAAACACTGCCCAAACTCATAAATTTTGCCAGAGCACCATTTCAGAATTTAGGTTTGTGGGGCCTATTGCCCAGAAATGTGCGTGTTATGTTTGGCTCCTGGCCACAGTTTTAGTTTGAATACACCATCAGATTTGTTGGAAAGACACAAATGAAAAACATCAGAAAATTGTATGGCTATCGAAACTGAAAGGAAATTTTGCGCAAAATTATTAAATTGAGGGGAACAGTTACAGAATGGAGCGCTTTTTTTTAACAAATCATGAAAAAAGCAAAACACCAAGGTGCATTAAGAAGATAGTTTTCAATTATTTCATATTACCGGATAACCCATTATGGGATATAGGAAAGGAAGATGGTTCATGCAAAAACAATAATATAATCATATGTGTAACTGGCGCGTAAAACTCAATAGGTTCGTACGTGCCGTAAAATCACGCTTCAAGCATAGTGTATAATGCCAAGGGACTGGTAGGAGTAAAAATGTGTCAGGATTGGCTGTTAAAACCTCCAGAAATAAAATTATTACATTTGGGAGAAACATCTTTGCGAGATATTTTATTACGTCTTGTTTATTTATTAAATATAAACCCTAACTAGATTTGAAGTTTTCGTGACTGCAGGGATCCATACTCTGGTTCTTTCGGTAAAGTCACGTAGTAGGTATAAAATAAATTACGTATAAAATAAATTATTTTATAACTACGTGACTTTACCGAAAGATCCAAAGAGTATAAACCCTCACTCTCAATTTTTTTACGTGCGGTAAAGTTGCAGCATTCACCTTCTGGCTCGGTGTTGTGCACACACACACACGTGTGTGTGTGCACAACACGCGCGCACACGTGTGTGTGTGTGTTGTCACATGGTCAAGCTAATCTGGTCAAGGCATTCCATTTTCTTTTGTCTGAATTCTTCCTCCCCGTGTTATTCGTCTCTGCCACACTAATCCCTAGGTCTCTTGTTACGGCTCACGGTATCGTCACAATCTGAACCTCAATATCCTCGCACACAAGGTGGATAGGAGTGATGCATTTTTTATCCAGCTGATAGCCGACACGCTTCAGAGCTAGGCTAGCAATTTTATTTATACTGTAAATAAAGTTATGGCCTACTCAAGAGGCTGACAAATGCTAATTGAAACTGGTAATAATCTGCAATAGCACTGGAAGGAGATTCCAGTTGCAACACATTGCAACAGTCATGTCACCATAGGGGTTTTGTGCCGGAGTTTCTGCGGTTTATTTACGTTTGCATCCAGTGTTTCAAGTTCTTCTTAATTACTAATGGGGAACGATTCACAAGAACAGTTTTGTTCTGTTCCCATTTTAACAGACGCGTGCTCATTTTTATTCCATTCCAGTGTCAAAAAATGTGTTTTGGAATGATGCTTACAATGCCTTTTGTAACATACAGAACTGGATTAAGAGGAATATACCTTCATCTTGATTTTTCAATGTTCCTTCATGTTTTCTCAGTTAATGGGTACAGTATTTGATTGACTCCAGCATGGAAAGAGAACATAAACTCAAGCAGTGAGTGGTTCTCAGCCCGTGGGGGCGCGAACGCGTTTATGAGGTGCACAATGATGTGGCATGGATAATGGGGCAGGTGAAAGTGTGAATGTCCGCGGCCAACGTCATTGTCACGTTCCAGCGACAAAACAAAAGCGCCCAACATGAAACACATGCCTGACTAACACCGCGTTGACGAGAGGTGTTGACATCTGATCTCCGTATTATTGTGGCCCTGGTGTAACCTTAGTTATATTTTTGAGACGATGTTAGAGGCATGGGGATTAGTGGTTGAGAACAACTAATGTCTATTATTAAACATGAGTTACAATAGATAAGTTGATAGATTTTGCAGTTCACCCTTTTAAATATGTATCAAGATTGTAAATAAATTGTGCATATGGAATGCTGCATTTTCATTTCTGTGTGAAATCCATTATACAGGGTGACCCCCATGAAATTCTATAAAACTTGATATTGTTAAAGTAAGGTTTATTGAACACATGAATATGCAAAGGAAAAAACAAGTTTGGGGCAAATGAATTGAAGGTCACAAGACATCTCCTGGAGCACCCTGTGGAGTCATTCAGGGTTTCTGCAACCCCGGTCCTAAGGACTCGCCGCGCTCCATCCATCCGCGTTTACCAATTTACACCCCCGATTCAAAATACGAATTGACTCGTTCCAAGCTGCACATGCCAGATGATTGCGAAACATGCCCTACGTGACGCCGCGTTAAGCAATTAACTCTGCGTTACGTGGAACAAGTTTGTACACTCACTGCGGTATCAATCTTGACTTGAATCGCGTCACGTTTGGACGTGTTTGACAATCATTGGGCGCGTGCAGTGTGTAACGAGTTGGTTTGTATTTTAATTGGAAAATTGGTAAACGCGGAAAGACAGAGCGGTGTGGATCGCAAGGACTGGGGTTTGGCAAACCCTGCATTAATATACTTAAACCTGAGCGATTTTAAACAATGTAGGAACACGTGATGAAGTGTGAATCTTAATAAGGGCTTGAGTTATTTACACTGGACAATTTACTAAATTGCTTTTTTTCCCAAACATAAAAACTAAATGAATCTAAAAACCCTCACCAAGTCACGGTTCATGTTTAGTGTCGCTCACTGGGGTAATATTTGCTTTTATAAATAAAGAATGCTTGCCAGCAACGCATGCATTCTTATTGATGTATTGCGTTGAACAGGGCCCCATCGCTGAGATGTTGTGCTTTTGTCAATTTCTTCTGGCAACCCAGCAGCATATGTGAAGTCTGACTGCTGATGGGAATTAGTATACAGTGTTCAGAATACATTTCCTAAAATTAGCGGGGTTAATCAAATACATGTATAAGTTTACCGAAACAGTAGACCGTTAGTCAACAATAATTTGTTCGATATTTGAAGGATGGTGGTAATTCTTTAACATCCGTACATTTGAAATCAGGTTGAATGTGGCTTTGCCCAGAACCGGTTAAGATAACGTAACTTGTCTTGGAAAGTCCTGTTTATATTTAATTGTGGCGACACTGCTGACCATGCTAAGTATGAAAAATAAGAATC